TAGCTCTTCAGCAACTAGGTTAGTCTTCCAGGTAAATCACAAATAAAATTGAGCTTGAGCTCTGCTCAATCCCTATTGAATCTTATGTAGTTACACGCTTTTGGCACGATTGTCAATCTCCCTGTCAAGGCAGACACAGGAATACAACAGATTAGATGTTTCAGACCAGGACTAGGATCCTTGAGCTGTGCTGTGTAGAGAAGCTTGCAATTCATCCACCCTCTCTGGGCAGCTGACTCCAGCCAGTGCTTTAATAATTCATCTTCTTCATGACTTTCAGTTCCACTACATATAAAATAATCATAGTAAAGGATAAGATTTGTCTCACCTGGATAACCAGAGCTTCTGAATGGACTGGAGTTTTAAAACTGAAATCAAACACACATGCATGTCCTTGAAAAACAGCTTACAATGGATATGACACTATCTCCAGTCTGACAGCCAGAAGGTATTTAGCTAATTATAGTAATCAGTACCATTATGCTAATTTATAGCAGAAATGTTCCCAAGTGCAATGAGTTGGACAGGGAAATAAAAAGACTGACTGTGCTTTTCATTAGATAAAAATGCATTTATATGGCTGGAGAGTGGTGATTCTTCAGCTTTAGGTAAATGGCTGTTTTCCAACCTCTTAAAAAGAATCAAACATGTTGGGGAAATATGTATTACGTATGATAGCTTTGATCACAGCCAAAGCCTAGGCAAAATGTGTTTTATTTTCACTTAGTCTCTTGCTTTTTTCTTGCTGAGGTACTTTGTTGGGGTTAATAGGTGAACTTTATCACTTTTTGTTTCAAATTGTTGGAAACATCCCTTAATCAAGACTGCCCCAGGCAGTTCTCCATTAAATCAAGTGCATTTAATTAGCACTATGGAGCAGAGTTGAATTCTAGTGTCTTAAGACCTCATACTATGTATGACAAGATCAAACTAAAAACATTTGTTCTCAATGTGCAGCTGCAGCTTCAAAGCTTACAGTAATTTTGAGCTTAAAGTAATTGAAAATACATTAAATGGATGGGAATTTGCTGTATGCTGGAAGCCTGGGCAGACTTTTTTTTAAGGCTTTAGTTATAAAAGGAGAATCAAATTACTGTTCATTACCTTAGTACCAGAGAACTGATTTTGATTTCTGTGAAACTGAGCCATACTGATGGCAGAAAAGAATATATTCTTGGAAGTATAACAGCAACCAGCCTGTTGCCCTTGTTTACACTGTGGGAAGGAAGAGTGCAAAGAATCTTATCCAAGGCACGCTCTTTGTAATTAAAGCATGAAAAGTGTTGCTGAATTGGCATGCATTGTAAATACATCTTATGCCAAGTATTCAATCCTGCCTAGAGTCAAGTGAAGGTTCCAAAATTCTTTGCTGTAAAAAATTGCTGTATGTGAATTACACTAAAATATGTGGAGTGCATATAGCCAGCTTCCCTGTGCCCTTCCTGGCAAAAAGAAATCCAGTGGACAAGCTTGAAGTTAGGCATCCAAATTCATGTCCAAGCATTTAAGTAAATGATCTCATTTTCAGAGGTAATCAATCCATTATACTCTGCAGACTCTTGCTAATCTCTGAACTTCACAGGTGATAACAACCTTCCTGAAGAATCCTGCTCCCACTTATCAGGCTTTTACTACCTCTCTCTTCTCTGTTGGCTACCTGACAATTTCTTTTGTATCCTGTTTGTATTTATGTATGGAGTTTTACAAAAGCCTTTGTTCCATCTGCTGTGTTTAGCACTGCTGTGTCTGCTTCTCTCCCAGAGACTCAAGGAAGGATATCAGAAAGTTTATCTCTGTCTATCCCAACCAAGCATTTGATCCAGTAAATGATATCACCCACAAAAACTCTTGTCTTTTCCATATTTCCTGGACCATCATGGCTATAACATCATTTCAGCAACTGGTTTTAAAGTTAATGGGAATTTTGGGGATACAGTTTCATGTGCAGGTTTAAGTGCATCTATATTTTGATTGTTCCTTGTGTCTCACAGTCTTGGCCTTCCCATTGGACCCAGAAAATCAATTAGACAAAAATGGACATTATTTACATGAATAAGTTGGAAGCACATATTGTGAGTTCTTACTCCCAAGAAAAATGAACACCTCACAGCCCCCCCGCCCCCCTCACCTCACAGGCCCTGCAACGTTTTGGCCCCTTGGGCCAGATGAGTGGTGTAGGGCTGGACTGGGGGTTGGATGAGACCCTGTGCGTCAGGATCAGGCCTGTATGTGCATTGGACCCCGTACTGGCTCTTTCCAGCCCTATGTGCCAGGATGGGGCCTCAGGGCTGCACACCATCACCACTTGGCCTCACAAGCCATGTTTGCTAGGATTAGGCCCTGAGCCATCCCAACCCTGCCCCATGTGCCAGTACTGGGCCCCATGCTGCCGTGTGCACCCAATCTAGTGTGTAGGGCCATAGCCTGCAGGGCTCCCCGTGGACCCATGAGGAGCCGCATGTTCCAGATAACATGGCACCAGAGCTGGATCTGGCCTGTGAGCTGGGGGTTAAGCATCCCTAGACTAGATGACCCTTGTAGTCCTTTTCAGCCCTTTTAGCTTCACACAGTGTATGGGCTTGGGTGATTGCACCCGGGGTCATCCCTTTGGGGCAGAGGGGGGAGCTCAATTGGGGCAACTGCCCTGGGCCCCACAGACAGTGCTGTACATGCCCCAAGGGCGCCACCACTCTGTGGGGTTACTGCGTGCTGCTGGCTTTGTGCTCCAACTGCTTCCCCCCCCCCGCCCTACACCACTCATCTGGCCCAAGGGGCCAAAACGTTGCGTGCCACTGATCTAGTCTATCCCTCTGTTCTGAAGTGGTACCAAAGATACCTAGACCATTTCTGACACTTATCTGCCTAACTTATTCACAAAAATCTCCCATGACAGGGATATCACAACCTCCCTAAGTAATCTGATCCAGTGTTTAGCTAGTCTAATTTGTTTTTCCTAATAGCTAACCTGAATCTTTCGTGATGAAAATTAAGATAATTACTTCTGGTCTTACTTTTGTGGGACATGAAGAACAGCTGAACATATAAAATAAACCATTACATATTTGAGGACTGTTATCATTGTCACCTATCAGTCTTCATTTTCTAGCATTTCTCAACCTGTGGGTCACAACCCAAAAGTGGGTTGCAAGAATATTTCTAAGGGTTGCAAGCCTGTCCAAGAAAAATGTATGAAAGCGCAGGTTTCCCTTTACAGGCTAGAAGCGTTCCAGCCTGCAAAGGCAAACGTGGGCTTGTGCAGTGTTCCAGCCTGCAAGTGGCTGCTGGGGGCATGGCCAGGATGCAGCCAGGCAGGGTTGTGGGAGCAGCCCCAGCAGCAGATGAAGGTAGGGGGAAGGTGGCCAGGTTCTGAGATTGTGGCAGGGCAGGGATTGTGGCAGGGCAGGGACTGTGGGTTGCACACTGGCAGGGCCAGAGGGGTGTGGGTCAGGACAAGCCATTGATCTTGACAGTGGGTCCCTGTAGGAAAAAGGTTGAGAACCACTGTTCTAGACTAAACAAACCCAGTTACTTCAGCCTTTTTTTGTAAGTCAAGATTCCTAAACTTTATTTTTTGCCCTCCATCATACAGTCTCCAGTTTGTCTACACCTTTTCTAAAGTATGTTTCCCAAAACTGGACACAGGATTTCAACTGGGATATAGCCAGAACTGAATAGACCATAATTTTATCTACAGATATGTGTATGAGACTCCTGTTAATCTATCCAGGAATGAGAGGAGCCCTTTTTGCAGCTGCATCACATTGTATACTCATATTCAATTGTGGTCCATGATAATCCCTAGGTCCTTTTCTATGGTACTGCTGCCATAATAAATTATTTCTCCTTTTCACTTTTCTTTCATAAATGTAGTGACTCATGCTTGCCTTTTATTGAATTTCATCTTGTTAACATCAGACCATTTTCCATTTTCTAAGACCATTTTGAATTCTAATCCTGTCTTCAAAAGTGCTTGGAACTCCTCCAGGTTTGGTGTAATCCACAAATGTTATAAGAGTACTCTTTGCTAATTAAAATTATAATGGTATGGAACTCAGCATATTCTCTTAAATTGACAGCAAACTATTCATTAGTATTCCTTTCAACAAGTTGTGCATCCATCTAGACTAATGTTCCCTAGTTTTCTTATAAGCATGGAATGGAATTATGTCCAAAGCCTTACAGCCAAGGTATATCACATCTACTTCTTTCTCCATTCCTAAGGCAGTTACCTTGTCAAAGAAGGAAATTGGATTAGCTGGACATAATATGTTCTTGACAAATCTATATTGGCTATAATTTATTGTCTTATTACCCTTTAGGTGCTTCCAAATTTGAAGATATAAAGAGCGAATTTAAGTTACTCTGACATTTTATGCTATTCAAAAACTGCAGCATGGGTCAATTTTATTAAATAATTTACTAATAACTAGGATGTAGTTCCCCGTCTGCTACTGTGTTCACAGTACATTTTCGGCTTCCCCTGGCTTGCTCCACAAGTCATGCCTTCTCCTTTGGGGATCACTGCATCCCCATTGGATGCATTGCCAGTGCTATCCCCAGTTTCACTATTGAGCCACTACAGCAGTACCTCAATCTACTGTAAGTAATGCTCAAGTTAAAAAAATGAATTATTGCCCCTAAACTGACCTACAGATCTCAGTAAAATGAGTTAACAGGACTGAATGACTTCAGCTAGACTTCTGCATACTTACTGATAATTTAATAGGTGCAGACTTGGAGATGGAAAAAAATTGTGTGTGTGCACGTGTGTTCATATATTAATAACATACAACTCTATTACATTATAAGAAAAATAAAATATAACAATACAGGTTCTCAGCTTGAATTTCATGGGTTTGGGCAGGAAAGGTGAGATCTTGGTCCTGGTAGGGTTATTGGCAAAACACTCTCTGATTTCATTAACAGTAGGATTTCATTCAGCAGTTCTCAAATGTTAATTGTTCATAAAAAGCATGGTCCTTTCTTGTATTGTTTTGCAGGGGATTTCCAAAGAAAACAGGCAGAACTTCTAGGATAGCATCTGATGAGGAGATTCAAGGGACAAAAGATGCTGTCATACAAGACCTAGAAAGAAAACTTCGCTTCAAAGAAGATCTTCTGAACAATGGCCAGCCGGTATTTAAATATAAAATACAATGGGGGTATTACACTTTGTTTCTCTCATAATTCATGTTCATGTTTATTGGGTCTACATGTCACTGTACAGTGATGTTGCTATGGCACCATGCTTTAGTACTTCCTTTTAGAAGTACTAAAGCACAACACAGTAACTGCCTGTACTGCTCCATGCGCGTTGTGCACGGTTAGATTTCACTACTACTTCGCTGTAGCAGTGCACTAAAATGGGGGGCACGCAACTATAGCAAAGTAGCGGCTAATCACATGTAGACTCACGTGATCACTATGTGGCTGTAGCGTGCCATATGGTGACAGTGCATCACTATGATGATGTAGGGTGACGTGTAGACGCGCCCATGTTGTTTTATTATTATTGGAGTCATATATGTTATTATACACACACACACACTATATATATAGTTAATAAGTATTTATTTATTTGACATTCAATAGTCTTTGATTAAAAACAGAAACAAGCTAGATATCAAGGATCAAAACCAAGGGGAGAGTGCGTACAGGTTCCAAGGCAGGGGGTAGGGCATGTAGTTCTCAGACTGGGAGTGGGGAGATGCTGCAATCTTATCCATGCCAGGAACTCCTAAAAGTCCTTGACTGAGCTGTTGCTGCTGCCACCATTAGGTACTCTGCCCATCTCAGCTGTTGCTCTTAAATAGAGTAACCATACATCCTAGTTTGGCAAAGACAGTCCCAGGTTTCGTAGGCTGTCCCAGCCTCCCAGCCAATTGGTGAAAATTGAATCAAAAGTCCTGGAATTGAGGGGCGCAGGGTGCTGTCTGGTGGGCAAGCAGAGTGGCATAGTGTGCCACGCAATTGGGCAGGCAGTCCGGGCAGGCAGGCACTGCTGCTTCTCTGTGGGAGTAAACTAGGCAAACTGAAGCAGTGCCTAGCCCAGCCCCCTGCACTCCCCACACCCCCACTTCCAACCACTGCTCAGGAGGAGCCAAGCCCGGCACGTGTGGGTGGGGTGGGGCGGGGCCTGCTTCAGCAGTGCCTACCTGCCTGCCTACCTGGTGTATCATGCCCCTCCACCTCTGTGCTGGGCTGTGCCCCCACCCCTACCCTTCTGCCTCTGCCTCCAGCAGCACTGGGGGCAGTTTCCAGGATTTCTTTAAACATAATATGGACAAACTACTCTTAAATCAGCAGCAGCAGCCAGGGACTGTTTTGGAGTTCCCAGCAGAGTAAGCCATGAGACTGCTCTTGCTGCCTGGGCGCAAACTCTGTGGGGGTGAGGGGCGATTCCAGCGCCCCTCCTAACTTGGTGTCCAGGGTTAGTGCCTCTCTTATTCACTCCTGCTTATTCTACTATCAGTCTATTGTATAGACTAGTAGAGCATTCTCATAAGAGATGATCTGAGTCCCCTACAAGCCTACAATCCAGATCTTCATCCACCTGGTTGAGTGATCAAAGCGCTAAGCTGTTGTACATGATCACATCCACTAGCATGGGGACACCCAGTTTGTGAATCCCAAATGACCTTAGGTGGGGCTTTGGCCCTACATGTTTGGTTTAGCTTCCCAAAGCTGAAAGAATGAAACAAAGCTAACTTTTTCCTTAAATGAGAAGTTTTGGGGGGTTTTGTTTACAATTAGTATCACTTTAATGTGCAAATATTATTCTGCAATATTTGGCTTGCAAGAAAATGTTTAAATATGAAGCAATAATTTATATTCATATTAGAAGGAAAAATAAAGCAAATCTCTACTGATTAATGAATATATATGTAACAAATCAGTGTCTTCATCTCAGCTAGCTGACAGTATCTTCTGAGTTGTCTCCTTATTATAAAGAAGTGTAAAGAGAAACAGAAAATCCAAACTCTACAGAAAGATATTTTATACAAATTTGTCTTCACTTCCTTTGAAAATATAGAACAATCTCTTCTTGGTATCCTTGGCTGAAGATCCTGTCACTTGTGGTTCTAATGTAGAAACTATAGGCAGCAGAGGAAAGTCTAAGAAGTCAATCACAGTGCCAGTAGAAGTGAGGATTTCTAGTATCAACAGGGTGCATCTATATATGCAATTAATGCAAAGCAATAAATTGTGGAGTTTATTGCTCTGGAATTTATTACTCCCAGGCATGCTGTTTGAATGTGCGCCTGGGACTGCAGCACGTTGAGCTGGATAAGAGCAGCCCCGGCTGGCAGGGGGCCCTGAGGGTCAGCCTGCCAACCCAGGGTTGCTCCCCCTGGCTCAGCATGCTGCAGAGGAGTTGGCGGGGGCACAAGGGTGCTCCAGTGTGTGGCTAGCTGGCAGTCAGCCCCCACACCGAAGCACCCTCATGCCCCAGGCCAGCCATGCCAGCATCTACACATGCAGCACTGCGGAGTAAACTAATTAACTCCACGGCAGGATAGTACTTGTAAAAATACAAGTACTATCCTGCTGCGGAGTTTACTAGTTTACTAGTTGACTAATTAGCTCCACAGTAAACATCTTGGCATCTATTCATGCAGAGCAATTAGGTTGAAGTAAAGGGATTAACTCCGCAGCAGGATAGTACTTGTAAAAATACAAGTACTATCCTGCCGAGGAGTTAATCCGTTTACTCCAACCTAATTGCTCTGCACCAGTAGATACCAAGATGTTTATTGTGGAGCTGATTAGTCAACTCTGCAGTAAATGTCTCATCTAGATGCACCCACAGGGTAGCTAAAGTTTTCCATTTTGATTATCTTGACATTGCTTTTGTTAACTTTATTTAAAGCCAAGTTAAAAATTCTTTACCTCTTTCAAAGAAGGCCTAAAATGAAGCTACTTCCTATTCCTTATAGAGTATTCTTGTGTGGTTGGATTATGCCATATCTTTTCAGACTATCTTTTGTATTGTTCTTACTTAATAAGAACATTGGCATGAAATTGGTTCTTCGTTGCTTAATAATTTTATCTGCTTTCCTTCTCATTTCTCCTCTGAAATCATAATCTTCTTATATATTGTGGAAATTATTTTGATGCTACAAATAGATTATTGATTTCAGGAAATGGGGTAAAGCACTAACACAAGATGAATTGTTAAGAATTAAAGATCCTATGTCCAGGTACTCTGAGCAATACTGAAAGTGTGACACAGCTCATTTATTCATAAACTGCTTGTATTTCCTGATGCAGACATTAATTACTCCCTACATGACCTATGCTTTTAAATAGGAAATAAGAATTTTGCTTTGCCTTCCTGTTCTCACCTCATGCTTTTTTTGGGGGGGGGTTGTTTGCTTATTTTTGTTTTTGTTTTGTTTTGGTGCAGAGGTTAACATATGAGGAAAAGATGGCTCGTCGGCTACTGGGTGCAGATAGTGCTGCCACTGTCTTTAATTTACAAGAACCAGAGGAAGAACCCACTACACAGGTGCCATTGCTCAGAGAAAAGTAACCTTTTTCTTACCATTGTTACTTTTAGGCAATATTCTCCAAGAAGTCTGCATGCGGGAGGACTGGTACATAAAAGAAAAAGGAGGGGGTTGACTAAAAATTCTTGTGGTATGCATAAACACAATAAAGTGGAAAATATAGTTATAGCTCAGTTTTTCCACACTGAATAAGGTGAAAGAGCTCTTGAATGTCTGCTTTCCACTTTAAGCTTCTCTGTTTGTTCTGTCCTATCCTGACCTTTCTGTCTCTCAAGGCAAAAATGCATCCTCTGCCCTTTTGAGACCATTTTGTCATTTATTCATGTAATTTGTAGTTTTTGGATCAAGCCAAACCAGAAGTGTAGCAAAACCTTTTAAGTAGGCCTAGTAAAACCATTCCCCGGTGCTTGTTCAGCAGCCAACATTGCTGTTGAATACACCATAGACATTCAGTTGCTTATGTCAACATGTGCAGTCAGTTCTACTGAAAGAACTCCCCAAAACTGTAGTGGATTCTTCTTGATCCTTTTACTGCCAGTCTTCATCTTTTTTTCTGCCCTTACAGGGAGCTCGCTCTCTTGATGCTTCTGTAATGAGTCCTGTGGATATTCAAAAGGTTAAAGTTTTCAGCTTTCTTTCTTTCTTTCTTTCTCATTTTTTTATGTGCATTGACTTTTTGTTGTTTCCTGTACTTTTCACCTTCTCTTTTCTCAACAAGAAGCAACACATTGGCCAGACATTGTAGTAAGTGCCAGGGGTGGGGTGTGCACTCACTCTCCTTGTGTTAAATTTGCATTATAGTAAATAAATGCAGACTATTTTACTCCAACAATACTGCTGTGGTAGGGGTATCCACCTCTTTCCCCAGTAATTCTAACACCTCCTGACAAAGTGCTTTGCACCCTGTATCAGCTTCTCTTGTTAAGTAATAATCTATGTTTCTTAGATGACTAATCAGATAAAATGTCATGGTGGAATATGCTAAAAAATAGGGAAAGTGTTTGTAATTAAAAAATACCTACCTTGCCACTCATTTGTTCCTGCATATACTGGTCATGTTATTTTCAGAACCAAATTAAGGGTAGAGAGAAGATGCTAAATCTTATCCTCCGATCAAATTTCCCTGGAATGAGGGAGCTGTCTCTAAGATGTAAATCACCTTCTTACAAGAACACATTAATAGATAAATGTATTTCTGAATATTTATTTGTGTATGAATGTATAAATGGAGTAGTTGAAGGTAGAAACTACTGCAGATGCCGGAATAATATTTCTCTACATTATAATTTAATTTGGACAAATACTTGTATTTTATACCAATTATTCCCTCAGTTGAAAGGGGCAATAAACTGCACAAACAAAAATGGTAAATGACTGTGAAAGCCAAGGGTAGGCAACCCCAGACATGGGTGCCAGAGCATGACAACGTGAAGGCATTTTACTTGGAACACATGCCTCAGGGCAAACGGCAGGGAAGGGGCTGAGGCTGTGGTCAAGGTTTGTAGGTGTTTTTGACACTCTGCCCAAAAATGTTGTCAACCCCTTGTCTAGGCTGTGGTATTGCAGAAAAGGACTCGGGAGTTATGATGAATCACAAACTGAATATGAGTCAACGATGTAATATTGTTGTAAAAAAGCTAGAGGCACACTGGGATATATTAATAGGGCATCATATCCAAGGTGCAGGAAGTAATTCTTTGACTCTGTTCAATGCTGGTTGTTGCCTTACCTTGAGTGCTGCTTCCAGCTTCCAGAAGTAGGTGAAAAAATGGAAACAACTAAGAGGACATGTGAGGGGAGAGTTTGTTTTGACTAGAGAAAAGAAGCCTGAGGGGGATCTGGTAAGAGTGTTCAAATACAATTTTTAAAGGGTTATTATTAAAAGAATGGTGATCAATTGTTCTCTGCAACCATAAGGATGAGGACAAGTAGTGATGGGCTTAAATTGCAACAAGGGGGATTTAGGTTGGATATTAGGAAAAAGTTTCTGTCTATGAAGGTGGTTAAGCTAGAGAGACTGTGGCATCTCTATCATTTTTAAGTGCAGGTTAAATAAACATTTGCCTGGGATGATGTAAACAAAGATGATCCAGCTTGAGCCAGAAACTGGACTAGCTGACTTCTCAAAGTCCCCTCCAGCACTATTTTTCTGATTCTGTAAATTATATTTCCCTGACTTTTTAATGTTTTGCTATATTTTTCCCAAATTCTCTTTTAAAGAAAGAGCAATTTGGGGTGGTTATTGCTGCTGGGTTGGGGAGCCTTTATCATGACTTGCTAATGTTGCCACTTTCTCACTGTTCTAGGAAAATATAATCACAAACAACACAATGCAGCTTGCAGTAAGGGTTTTGCACAAATTCCAGATGTGAGTCATGTGGTCTCCTGGCCATTTGGAGAGAAAAACCTACCCTAAATCTGTCTGTACCCTCAAGGAAAAAAAATGATTGTTTTTTCAGTTTTTATGAACTGCTTAAGAATACTATTATTACTATATGCTATTCTAAACATGGAAGAAAAGCAACCAATGACTTTTTTTTCTTATAAATTTATACCCTTGGACAATTTGAAATACAATGTATGCCTAGTGCCAGATGTTTTCTTTGTTTTATAAGGAATTCATTTGGGGCACAGATTGTTATGCTTTTCTTCTGTATAGTACAATTTCCTTCTATATGTACAATCCTAATGGATTGGCAAAGAGTTGTAGAATAAAATTCATTAGAAAGACATCATGCTATGCAGTACATGAAAACAAATGCTAACATGATTATCCCTTGCTTGTTAGGAGTACAAGGTCTCCAGCTTTGAGCAAAGACTGATCAGTGAGATTGAGTACCGGCTGGAAAGATCTCCTGTGGAAGAATCAGATGATGAGGTACAACATGGAGATGATCCTGTTGAGAATGGTGCAGCCCCCTACTTTGAGATGAAGCTGAAACATTACAAGATCTTTGAAGGAATGCCAGTGACATTTACATGCAAAGTGGCTGGGAACCCAAATCCAAAGGTAAGAAAGAGAGTACATTCCTTTTACTGTTGAACTAGGTCATGCATTTGTTATCTCTGTAAGAACAAGTACCCTGTGTATTACAAGAACTATATTTCTCTTTTGGGGGCAGTTTCTCAGCTGGCATCTTGTTTGAAGCCAATGGAGCTATTACAGGTCACACCAGCCAAGGAACTGCTTCTTGAAGCTCACCTCTACAAGTGCACAGTTCTCCAATCCCTCAGTTCAACCATTAAGTCTAGGAATAACATTTGTAAACGTGGGTTTTAGGGAAGTAATTGGGATTAAGGCACTTTTGGAAATGAGACTGGGAAATTTGTCTATAGGTTTCTTCTACATCAAGGGTGTCAAACTCATCCTAGGCCCCGCATCAAATCCAGTCTACAGGAACTCCTCCCAAGCCAGATCTGCAAAGCTAGCAGTGACTTAGTGGGGATGTGTTTGGGTGTCTGTGCAGATCTGGTGCAGGCAGTGGACCACGTTCGGGCAGTAGTGTGGGGCTCTGACCAGGTTGCCACATGGAGCTGGGGGTATGCTGCAATGGGGGGGCAGGAGATGTGTGGCAGCATAAGGCTGTGTCTTGGCAGCAGTGTGGGTCTGGAGGCGAGTGGAGGTGGCAGGCTGCATTTAGGCGGCAACACAGAGCTTGGGTATACCATTGATGGCCATGTCCTTTGGGATCCAGGAACTCCAAATTCTACAGCAGTCCATGCCCCGCAACTTCCAGTAGTCCACTGGACTACTTTTGGACCAGAAGAAATGGCTCTGTGGGCTGATCTGGCCCACGGGCCTTATATTTGACACCCCTGGTATATGTCATTATGACACTCCTCTTGCTGCTATGATTCTCATGTTTTTAAGACACAAGTTTGTCTCAAAAGCTGTTCCTAGACACCATGCTTTTTTTAGTAGAGATTTGTTAAAAGAAATTGGCTTGAAAAAGCCAAGGATTTCTGTAAGGGTGGTACTTACCAGCATATCTACTAGACATATTTAGACTTTGAGTTTTAGGATTTTAAAGCTCAGAAAGTAACAGTGTGGGGTCTCCAGGTGTGATGCAGAGAGATATGGAAGGAGTGGGCACCAGGCTTGGGATGTGTTTCCTCTGAGAAACTGTAAAACCTCAGTTGACATTGTGTAATTAATCTCGGGAGGATATCCTAGCCTCATTGGTTAATTTTAATGATTAAGTACTAATCCATTAAGCCATTAGGTAACCTGAAAGCCAGAAAAACATCATAAGCTTTATCTATAAAGCAGCTTCTTCATGATTGTGCTGAAATGGGAAGATGGTAGAAAAACACTTATGTAGAGCAGGCCGCTACAGTGGCCTCTTGTGGCCACATACTGTTTTTCACTTGAAATAGATTATTCACCTGAGGCCCAACCTTCAAAGCAGCAAGGGCTATACTGGCAAATTGCCAGGCACCCAAGAGCTTTACTTAATGTATTATTTATTAAAATAATTTATATAATGTATGTGCTTGGGTTTTAGTCACTCATAAATACATGGGGCTTTAAAATGTGTTTAAAGAGTTCTTTGAGCATACGGAGCTATACAGAAATTATAAAAAGGCCAAATACAGTTTGCACACTACAGAGGATGGAGTATCACTGGAAAAACTGGCACAGCTTTCCTGAAACCAACTTTTTGATGTCCTACCTTATTGCTGAGATGGCTACAAACATTCTGGAAACAGTTTAAATCTGCCAGGCAATTCTGTGGGGATTTTCATTCTTCCAGAGATCAAATAGAGAAAAGATCTGCTAAAACATAAATTCTTCAGGGAGACTCATACAAAAAGCAGACCTCTTTATGTTGCTTTACAAAAGTTTTCCTGGCCTGCTGCTGAAAAACTTCTGCTTGCCTTACATCCATGTTTTTCCTATCTGTTAGATTACCAGTTCTAACTAGTAAACTGCTACAGAGATTAGTTATAGCAACCAATGGTTACAGCAAACCTAAAATTGTTTCCATCTCTGATATGTATCTAACTGAGGAAACTGTTGCAATGATTAAATGCAACCCACAGTGGATTGCTGCGTTAGGGATAACAGCTGACATCATTAGTCTTTGGAGTCAATACCCACTGAAGATGTGGTGGTAGCTCTGAGCTTCTGATCCAGGCTTTCAGACTGTAAGTTAAGAATGACAAAGTACAATGGTTTCCTTTATAGCTACCACAGCTAAAACTTTAGAGCCAGATTTTATTCCATTTATTTGGCACATTAGTGCAATCCTATTGCGTCCTACTTGAGTCCCTGAAAAATAGTTAATGAAAATGGTGAGGGATCCTCCTCTTCCTTCCTGTTTTTTTTGGACTCAGTCTTAAGGGGCAGATGGTGGTGTACTACAAAAGTAGATGAACAGATTTTGAGGACTTGAATAGAATGGAATTGCACTTAGGTGCCTAAGTCCACTTAGAGGTTTAATATGTGGAATACAAGTTGGCTGTTAGAGTGAAGTTCAAAACCATGTTGCCAATGGTATTTCCTTTGACATGAAAGCCAATCTGAGCACTTAAGGAAAAAAAATGTAAATTCTGAGGAAACTATATCAGTGCATCTCAAGAACCGGCCCAGCAGGGCATGAGATACACACAATAGGCATTTTTAAAAGGATACCCTCCATTTTAAAAATCAGTCTTTCATTCTCCCCTGCCCCTACAGTACCTATACAATCTGGTATATTTTTTATTAGCAGATTGACTTTAGAACTGCTGAATCAAGAAAACTGATGTTTTAGAATTGTTGTTTTGTGTTAACGAAAATAATACTCTATCATTTCACTTTTGTCTAATCTATGGATTTATTTAGACTGTAAGTAGTGTTTAGAATTAGTGTCCCCCAACTTAATTTTTCATTGATGCTGCTTATGGTTATGGAAGAGAGTATCCAGGCTGGGGTGTGCTTTTTTGTTTAGAATAAGGAGCAAAGGTAACACAGGAAGCAGGAGAACAAGTATGTGGTTACTCTGTGGAAGGTATCAGAGATGAATTCTAATGGACCTCAGGTCGTATTGAGAAAATCTTACTGTTTGCCAACTCAAATTTGCAAAAATCTGTGTGTTGATGGAATGGACCTTCAAGGAGCCAAAATTTAAGGAGCTAAGAACTGAATTTGAAGTAGCAAATAACCTAAGGGCTCCTATTTCATTTTTACATGCCTGACATTTCCATAGCCATGTAACTGCACTGTTGCAGTAACTACAAAATTTTAGATTCTGTGGTGCTACACTTAACCTGTGCTTGCCTTCTGAGCATAACCTGCAGGCTTCACTCTGACTTCATAGGCATCTGAGCAGGCACACACAAAACTGAGCAAGTCGCAAAGTTTTAGTCACAGAAAAAGGCATGATCAGCGGTCTTGGAGGAGAGTTCTCCTATCTTTTAATCCAATAATCTACCAAGCCAAGAAGTGGGAGACCCATCTTGTAGACTCCCTTCATACAGGGGGGTTTGAACCTGCATCTCCCACTTTCCAGCAGAGTGCTGTAATCACCCAGTCACAGGCCAGACCTAGCCCACAGCACACCTTAGTTTTCCTCTTGAAGATGATCTACTGGACATCTAGGAGGGGAACCTATATGGGACAAAGAGAAGAGCAAACTAGAGGAAGGTGTTGGCACTAGATTTATGACCCAGTCCTGATACCTTGTTCTGGGCAGACCCAAACCCTCAGACTGACCATGACTTCTTCCATTCTATAATATGCAAATGTTATTGATACACAGTGATAGCAGATAAGAGCAGGCAAGCAAACAAAATAACACCCCCAGTCCTACTTATCTACCAGTTCCAGGGTTCTCACAGAGGGATGGTATGTCTGGGCAGTACACAAGCACCACCCTGTCCTTCTTTGCTCGAACGTCAGACATCCTGGAGGTTGAGGGCCGATGCCTACCCCTCCCAGTGGGGTGGTCAAGATGACTCAGTGGTGTACCCTTTGCCCATGGTGGCCTTGGGATCCTCCCTTGCTGCTCTAAAAATCTCTCCCTTAGTATTCTATTCCTCCTGATGACTCTTCCTTTCTGGGTACCATTGATTGGTCTCTCTGTGGTCGTCATATTGTCCATGTTCTGTTCTGTCAGCATATCCCTCTGTTTCTCAAACATATCACATGCATACATCTTAATTTGGTAATTTACTGGTGTCTTAACGTGGGCATCCCCGGCATCCTAATTTGATCCATCCATCCATTTTCTTGAACAGGGACTGGGATATCCCATCTACCAGAGGTAGGGACAGTCTTGGGGATAGCTCTGTCAGGCCTTCAGTCAGTGCAGATGTAGTTAGGGATCTTCTGGAAGGGCTAGACGTTTTTAAATCTGCAGGTCCAGATGTCCTCCACCCAAGGGTGTTGAGGGAGCTGGCAGGGGTCATCACAGAGCCCTTGGCCTGGCTGTATGAGCATTCGTGGTCATCTGGCCAGGTGCCGGGGGATTGGAAACTGGCTAATGCGGTCCCAATTTTCAAGAAAGGGAGGAAGGAGGACCCAAATAACTATAGGCCTGTAAGCCCCACTTCGGTGCTCGGGGAGATCTTGGAGAGGATCATCAAGGAGCATATCTGTGGGGGGCCAGCAGGGGAGATCATACTCAGGGGCAATCAGCACGGGTTCATTCTGCCTGACCAACCTGATTGCCTTTTATGACCAAGTAACTAAATCCTTGGATGATGGTGTTGCTGTGGACGTAGTCTTTCTAGACTTTAAGAAGGCCTTTGACACTGTCTCTCACCCCATCCTCATCAATAAATTAAG